AGAGAAACCATGTGAGAAACCTGGATTGAGTTCCCAGCTCTTGGCTTCAGGCCCAGCCCAAACCCAGCCATTGCGGGCACAGGGGAGTGAGTTAGAAGATGGGAACTTTATATCTTTCTGCCTCTCAGATAATACAAAATAAATAAAATGTTGCTGGTGTTTAGATTGAATTGTGGAAGATGATGGAATTAAGCAGATGAGAAAGAAAAGGCATTTCAGCAGAGGGAAAAATCAGAGACTATAATGCACTTCTGAAAAATTTCTTGATAGGGCTGAGGTCTGTCCACTTTATAAATGGGTAACAGCATCGAGCTGCAAAGCAGGTCGGAGTCAGTTCACAGGTTAGGTTCTTATGTATAACGTTAAAGTTTTCATTTATAATACAGTGGGAAACTTCCAAATATTTCTTGAGGGGAATAATGATAGAGTTGTATTTCAGAAAAAGCACTGTGGCACAGTAATTAGCCTATTGTGAGGAGAAAGTCAGAGGCAGGTAAATTTAAAAAAAAATTATTGTGGACTTAAAGAGTAGAATGGTGACTGCAAAAGACCTACATCAGCTGCTGTCATGCTGTGAATACACCCTGCGGCTGATTCCCAGGCAACTTGGCCCTCCAGTGAACCTCACTATGACTAAGGAACATCTACTGAACCTTAAAGAGTGAGCTTTGCAATTTAGGGTCATTGTAGGAAGTGATTAATAATCCCATTATTTGCCTCTCCCTGCATATAGGTAGCACTGAGCGTGGGAATGCAACGGACCTCCTTCAATCAGTAATCTAGTCCAGTTTATTAGCAGGTGTTCTTTGATTTTTCAACGAGGTATCCTTCCTCAGTTTTCAATGTGATTTATAACCACCCATGTATCTGCTTTTTTTAAAAACCTCATTCAATGTATATACTCAGCAGAGCATAAAACCTGCAATCAAACTCAGGCTTGTGGAACAGCCAATTCAAGACAAATGACTGGTTGTGACTGGTTGTTTCTGACGTTACAGCCTCAGTTTGACTATCTGAATAAACTTTAATTTTTAAAAAAGATTTATTTACTTTAAAGTCAGAGTTACACAGAGAGAGAGAGAGAGAGAGAGAGCGATCAAGAGGTCTTCCATCCGCTGGTTCACTCCCAGATGGTCACAACAGCTGGAGCTGTGCCAATCCGAAACCAGGAGCCAGGAGCTTCTTCCAGGTCTCTTACATGGGTGCAGGGGCCCAAGGACTTGGGCCATCTTCTACTGCTTTCCCAGGCCATAGCAGAGAGCTAGATGGGAAGTGGAGCAGCTGGGACTCCAACCAGCACCCATATGGGATGCCTGCACTGCAGGCGGCAGCTTTACCTGCTGAGCCACAGCGCCGGCCCCTAAACTTTAATTTTTTAACCAGACTATATAGTCAACAGTATAAAAAGTTTTAAGAAGTGGGCTAAAGTAGCGACAGTGGAGGAGGAATCTTATTTGAAAGAAATTAGGGCCGGCACCGTGGCTCAATAGGCTAATCCTCCGCCTAGCGGCGCCGGCACACCAAGTTCTAGTCCCGGTTGGGGCACCGGATTCTGTCCCTGTTGCCCCTCTTCCAGGCCAGCTCTCTGCCGTGGCCCGGGAGTGCAGTGGAGGATGGGCCAAGTGCTTGGGCCCTGCACTCCATGGGAGACCAGGAGAAGCACCTGGCTCCTAACATCGGATCAGCGCGGTGTTCCGGCTGCGGCGGCCATTGGGGGGTGAACTTTCCTGGGCCAGCTCTCTGCTGTGGCCCAGGAAAGCAGTGGAGGATGCCCAAGTGCTTGGGCCCCTGCACCCGAATGGGAGACCTGGAGAAAGCTCCTGGCTCCTAGCTTCAGATCAGCGCAACTCCGGCTGTTGCGGCCATTTGGGGAGTGAATCAACGGAAGGAAGACCTTTCTCTCTGTCTCTCTCTTTCACTGTCTGTCTGTCTCTCTCTTTCACTGTCTGTAACCCTACCTGTAAAAAAACAAAAAAACAAAAAAACAAACAAAAAAAAACACTAAAACAAACAAAAAAGCTGAGAAGACATGAGACTTGACAAAATCATGTGACATTGTAGAAAAAGCACAGGATTTTGAGTAAGGTCAAAAGGACAGATCCTGGGACTACATCTGGTCTTGGGCAAGGAACTAAAACTAAGCTTTAGTTTTAAATTGAATATAATGGATTTACATTTTTTAGACAATTTTCCATTTAACAGATTTACAATTTTAGACAAAGTCTAGTTTTTAGAGGACAAAAAAGGAGGGTACTAATATGAGAATCAGCCATAGCTACAGAAAAATGCCATTTCAGACATATGCTGCTAGCATGAACTAGATAGAGGATTGCAGTACACGAGTGACATGTACAATCACTCCCAGTCTCCTGGAAATACAAATGGGGGACTAGCACAGGAACAGAATCAAGGAGTTCTCTGTCAAACCAAAACAGGAATTCTAGGCTCAATAAGTGACTAAGTGGAGGCAGAGAATGGAGAAGAGATGAAAGCAAGGAGGAGGGATGGCTTTAAGAGAGAAGGGAACTCTCTGATCTACATTAACAGGAGCTTTCCAGATACTCAAGAGTTGTTAGGAGCCAGGACTCTCTTGGCTGGCAAAGACAGTCAATGAGAAATAGAGGAGTTTCTAAGATATATATATATATATATATATATATATATATATATATATATATATAATTTATATAGATATATAAATCTTAGAATATATATATATATAACATACCATATCTGGTGATCTTAGTAAGGGGGTATAAATTGTTTCATGGTCAATACTCAGTTTTCAGAGAAACTAAAGAACAAATTAGTAATGGAGATTTCATGTGAGGACTTAGGTGAGATTATGAATGTGAAGTATATGGCACTGTATTTGATAAGTATTAGGCATTCAATAAATCTAAGCACAACCTCATGTTATGGGCTGAATCATGTGCCCCCGCCCCCGCACTCCCCAATTCTCCCATTGAAGCCTTAACCCTCAATGTGACTATCTGCATCAAAGCTTTAAGGAAGTACATAAAGTACAGTGAGGTAATACGGGTAAATAAGGGGCCTGCAGTGCCAGCATCCCATATGGACACTGGTTTGAGTCCCAGCTGCCCCACTTCAGATCCAGCTCTCTACTATGGCCTAGGAAAGCAGCAGCAGATGGCCCAAGTCCTTTGGCCCCTGCACCCATGTGGGAGACCCAGAAGAAGCTCCTGGTTCCTGGCTTCAGACTGGTGCAGCTCTGGTCGCTGTGGCCATCCGGAAAGTGAACCAGCAGATAGAAGATCTCTCTTTCCCTGCCTCTCTATAAATCTGACTTTATAATAAATCCTTCAAATAAATAAATAAATCTTAATTTAAAAAAAGATAAAGCCCAACTCCAATCCCACCCACTGCACAGAGAAAAGGATATGGGAAGACACAGTCACACAGCAGTCTATAAACCAGGAAGTAGCCTCACCAGACACCAATGCTGCTGGCACCCTGACATTGGACTTCCATCCTCCAAGAATAAGAAAACAAACTTTTGTGGTTTAAGCCACCCAGTCTAATGGTATTTTGTATGGCAACCTGAGCAGACTAACACACCCCCCTAAATGTAAGCAACTTTTGTAACAAAAAGCTTTAATACAAGAGAGAAGGCTAAAGGGAGAGTCCTAACCCAAATCGCACAGTAGAATGGCTAGAATGCCTCCAAACATAGTTTTTCCAAGGGTAGATATAGTGCTGCAGCAGGTTAGGCTGCCACTGGGGACGCCAGCACCCCACACTGGAGTGCCAGTTTGAATTCTGGCTATTCCTTGTCTGACCCAGCTTTCTGCCAACACATCCTGGGAGGCAGCAGATGGCCAAGCACTTGGGTCCCTGCCACCCACAGGAGACACCCAGGAGTTTCAGGCTTCTGGCTTCAGCATGGCCCAGTCCCTGCGCCTGCAGGCATTTAGGGGGTGAACCAGCAGATGGGAGATCTCTTTCTGTTTCTCTGATGCCCTTTCACATAGATGAAATAAACATTAAATAATTTTTCCTTTCTCTGCCCCTCCACCCAATGTTCTTTTTCTTTTCTTTTTTAAGATTTTTTATTTAGTTTTGGAGAGTTAGAGTTAGAAAGGTATTCCATCTGCTGGATGGAACTTCCCAAATGGCCACAACAGCCAGAGCTGGGCTGATTTGAAGCCAGGAGCCAGGAGCTTCCTCCAGGTCTTCCACGTGGGTACAGAGTCTCAAGCACTTGGTCCATCTTCCACTGCTTTCCTAGGGCTTAGCAGAGAGCTGGATTGGAAGTGGAGCAGCCAGGACACGAAATGGTACCCATATGGGATGCCAGCACAGCAGGCAGAGGCTTAGACTACTATGCCACACTGCTGGCCCCCAACCCAATGTTCTAAAAGCTTAGTTTATATAACGCTACCTCGGAAAATTCTTGTTCATCTGTAGAGATTCCCAAGAATCTGCATTTTTAACATGCACCCCAGGCAAAAGCTCCCAGAGGCACTCTGAAGTACACTGGAGAAGAACCCCAAAAACACTGAAATCAGGCCTGTATGTGCCTTTGCACAGGTCAATGGACCTTTTTCTTTATGCAAAGGCATCATCAACTCACCAAGAAATTCACATCCATAGGACCATACCAACCACAGGTGGCACCCTATTCCTCTAAAGATTCCCTAAAGATTTCTTAAGGGAAGCTGTGTGTTTTCTTAGGAGTTATATTAAAGATTGACAGCCCCAGAGACAGATGAATATTTGTTAGAACAGTATGAAAAACTGCCTTTTCATAATGACAGATTAGACTACAGAGCAAAAAATGGGGTGATGCCATGGCCATGGACAACATTCTTTCCTTTGGTATTTACCCCCAGAGACCCCAAAGTTACAGGAAGTGTATTTGAGAATGAGAACCACTGTTGAAAAATGTAGAGGGACCAGATAAATAGCATTGTGACTCACAGTGGTGACATTTTGGGTGACTACAATGACTCTACAGTAAGGAAATAACACATAGGTAATCATTTTAACAAATGGGTTGATGAACAACATTTATTTTCAGCAACACAGAGAAATTCCCCCAAGAAACAGATGCTATCTCACCATTTGAGAGGTAATGAAAATCTACTCTGAGAGCAAACTGGAGAGTCCAACACAAATTTAAATAAAGAGGCCTGGTAATGGAAAAGCTGGTGGAGGTGGATGTGGGGAAAAGTTCTAGCTTGTAACACTTCTTTGTTCAGGCCACAGTTGCCAATTTAGTAACAAGAATATCACAGGCTTCCATGGCACTGAAAAATCTTTTATACTAGCAGATGGGTATACAATGTTTCTTCCATGACCGGCAGTATTTCTTCCACCATCTTTGCCTGGATTATCTGCACCTTTTGTCAAGGAGCCACCAGGTGCTCCTGACTGCATGTGGCCAGGATGTCTGTAGGCAGCAGTCTGTGAATTCTTTACTCTGCTTCAGGCACAGCACACAGAGCTGGCCGGCTCCACCTAAAGGCGGTCACTGTGTGACTGCTATGTAGCTTGCCGGGGGGCCTTTTCCCTGGCATGGACTGTCATGTGCGTGGTAAGGGCCCCCATGTAGGTGAAGCTTCTTCCGCACTCAGCACAAGAAAAGGGCCTCTCCCTGCTGTGATGGTGCAGGTGGCTCTCCAAACTCCTCTTCTGAAGGAAGCCTTTGCCACACTCTGGACACTGGAACGGCTTCTCTCCGCTGTGCGTGTGTAGGTGGGCCTTCAAACTGCCCCGGGTGCAGTAGCTCTTGCCACACTCCGGGCAGTGGAAAGGCTTCTCCCCACTATGGACCCGCACGTGCTCCGTGAGCCTGTACTGCTGGGTGAAACTTTTGTCACACTTCACACAAGAGAATGGCTTTTCGCCACTGTGCTGGAGCAGGTGGCTTTTCAGATTTCCTTTGAGACGGAACCTTCTGTCACAGTCGGGACACTGGAAGGGCTTCTCCCCACTGTGGACCCGCAGGTGCTCCGTGAGCTGAGACTGCTGGGTGTAGGTCTTGCTGCACTCACCGCACGCGAAGGGCTTCTCCTCCCTGTGCGTCCGCTGGTGCGACCTCACGGAGGCTTTCCAGAAGAAGCGCTTGTCACACTCGGGACACTGGAACGGCTCCTCCCCGCCGTGCAGCCGCATGTGCTCGGTGAGATGCGTGCATCGACGGAAGCGCCGGCTGCACTGGGCGCAGGAGAACGGCTTCTCTGTGGCGTGGCTCTTGAGGTGCTGCGTGAGCCTGGACTGCCGGGAAAAGGTCTTGCTGCACTCGCCACAGGCGAACTCCTTTGGCCTGCTGTGCACCGTGGCGTGGCGCATGAGCTTGGAGGGCCGGGTGAACTTCTTGCCACACTCCCCGCAGGAGAACGGCTTCTCCTCGCTGTGCAGACGCTGGTGGGCCCTCATGGCGTTCCTCCAGAAGAAGCTGCGGCCACACTCGGGACACTGGAACGGCCTCCGCCCGTCGTGCTGGAAGCGGTGGGCTTTCAGGCTCCTCTTCTGGCGGAAGCTTTTGTTGCACTCAGGGCACGGAAAGGGCTTCTCGCCCGTGTGCACTCTGATGTGCTCGGCGAGTTTGGTTTTGTAGATGAACTTCCTCCCACACTGGTCACAAGAAAAGGGCTTCTCTCCGCTGTGTGTCCTCTGGTGGGTCTTCAGGGCTGCCTTGCGAGAAAAGCTCCGGCCGCACTCCGCGCAGTGGAAAGGCTTCTTCCCGCTGTGCTGGCAGAGGTGGGCCTTCAAGCTCCTCTTCAGGCGGAAGCTCCGGCCGCACTCTGCGCACGGGAAGGGCTTCTCCCCGCTGTGCAGCCGCAGGTGCTCGGTGAGCTTGCACTGCTGCACGAAACCCTTGCCGCACTCCTCACAGCGAAATGGCCTTTCCCCTTTGTGCAAACACAGGTGCTTCGTCAAGTCAGCTTTGTAGCGGAAGGCCTTGCCACATTCTGGGCACGGGAAGGGCCGCTGCCCTGTGTGGACGACCTGGTGAGTGATCAGACTGCACCTCAAATAGTAGCTCTTCTCACAGGCACTGCACTGGAACCGCTTCTTTCTGCACAGGAACACTGGGGGCCAAGCGACTTCAGAATTCCCTCTGGGTTTATTCTTGTGCTTTGGATACTTACGGGGCTGCTTCCTGGAGTGGCTCCTCTGGTGCTTTACCAGCTCATTCTTGACCTGGAAGACTTGCCTACAGGTAGAGCAGGAATAAAATCTTGGTTCAGGCAGACTTTCCAAGTGACCCGGAATATCTGGAGGCTTATGACATGGATCTTCCTTGTCTGGATTAGATGCTGTGCTGTGGACTTTTTGATTTAGAGTCTCTGTTTCTTGGAGACTTGGAGATTGTAAGGTAGCTCTTTGATCACATAAATCCCTTCTTTCGTTTCCGGGCAAGGTAGCACACAAGTCCTGCTTTTGAAGACCATTTAAATGGCATCCCTCCTCTCTTGTCCTGAGAGGTCCTTGGTTATCTACAGAGGAAAAAAAGGATCACTCGCATCAGTGATGTGTCTACTACATTGGGGTTCTAGGATCAGTTTATGTCACAAACAAAGCAGAAAAGGGAATCCCACTGATCTCAATGACTGTGAAATCTGCCTCCCATAACTCTTGTGTTCCTTTTACTACTTACTAAGAAATAGCTTAGTATTGGCCGGCGCCGTGGCTCACTAGGCTAATCCTCCGCCTTGCAGTGCCGGCACACCGGGTTCTAGTCCAGGTCGGGGCACCGGATTCTGTCCCGGTTGCCCCTCTTCCAGGCCAGCTCTCTGCTATGGCCCAGGAGTGCAGTGGAGGATGGCCCAAGTGCTTGGGCCCTGCACCCGCATGGGAGACCAGGAGAAGCACCTGGCTCCTGGCTTTGGATCAGCGTAGTGTGCCAGCCGTGTCATGCGGGCTGCGGCAGCCATTGGAGGGTGAACCAATGGCAAAAGGAAGACCTTTCTCTCTGTCTCTCTCTCTCACTGTCCACTCTGCCTGTCAAAAAAAAAAAAAAGAAATAGCTTAGTATTTTAAAAATTACAAGCAAATACATCTTATGAACCTAGAGATGACACTTAGAGGGTATGTAGAAGTTGGAGATCATGAGTTACTGAGAATCTGTACCCATTACTCTATTTCCTTAAACCTGTGAAATAAATATTCTTACAGAAAAGTTGAGAATCATATCCTTATTCTTCTTCTATAATAGATTTCAGGAAAATTTTTCTGGAAGAAATGTTATTAGAATGTGGGGGGGGGGGGTGGCACTGTGGCATAGCAGGTAAAACCACCACCTGCAGTGCTGGCATCCCATATGGGCACTGGTTCGAGACCTGGCTGTTCCACTTCCTTTCCCAGCTCTCTGCTATGGCCTGGGAAAGCAGTAGAAGATGGCCCAAGTCCTTGGGCTCCTGCACCCGCATGGCAGTCCTGGAAGAAGCTCCTGGCTCTTGGCTTTGGATCGGTGCAGCTCTGGCCGTTGTGACCAATTGGGGAATGAACCAGTGGTTGGAAGACCTCTCTCTCTCTCTGCTTCTCCTTCTCTCTCTGTGTAACTCTGACTTTCAAATAAATAAATAAATCTTTAAACAAAAATAAACATTGATTTGCTTTAAAAAAAAAAAAAAAAAAAGAACCTGGGGACTCACATCACTATTGCTCAGGCACACATGGCAGAGAGCACTTGCCAAACCTAGGGAAGGGTCATGAACTCTGACCCCCCCCCAAAAAAAAACATAATCCCAGAAGCTGTCTCCCCTTATTCTTGATCTCCCTTCCTTTCAGCTTTCTCTCACCTCTGATACCGGAGTGTACCCCACTCAGCAGTAGCCACTGCTGTGGGAGTGTCGGGTCTGTGCCCGATGCAGGACAGTGTGGCAAAGAGGTGTAGCTTCTTGCTAACGGCCTGGGAAAGCGGTGGAAGATGGCCCAGGTGCTCGGACCTCTGGACCCACATGGAGGACCCAGAAGAAGCTCCTAGTTCCTGGCTTTGGATCAGCCCAGCTCCGGCCATTGCATCCATTTGGGGAGTGAACCAGCAGATGGAAGACGGGTCTCTGTCTCTGTCTGTAACTCTGCCTCTCAAATAAAAAAAGTACCTGGGGGCTGGTGCTGTGGCGTAGCAGGTAAAGCCACTGCCTGCAGTGCCAGCATCCCATATGGGCACCAGCCGGTTCAAGTCCCGGCTGCTCCACTTCCCATCCAGCTCCCTGCTGTAGCCTGGGAAAGCAGCAGAAGATGGTCCAAGTCCTTGGGCTCCTGAACCCACATGGGAGACCTGGAAAAAGCTCTTGGCTCCTGGATTTGGATCAGCCCAGCTCTGGCTCTTGCGGCCATTCAGGGAGTGAACCAGAGGATGGAAGACCTCTCTCTCTCTCTCTCTCTCTACTTCTCAAATAAATAAATCTTAAGGAAAAAAAAAAAGAAAGAAAGAATCGTTCTGGGACTAGTGTTGTGGTGGAGTGGGATAACCTGCTGCCTGTGACAATGGTGTCCTATATGAGTGCTAGTTCATGTTCTAGATGTTCTACTTCAATCCAGCTCCATGCTAATGAGCCTGGAAAAGTAACAGAGGATGGCCCAAGTACTTAGGACCCTGTCACCCGTGTGGAAGACCTGGATGGAGTTCTTAGCTCCCACTTTCAGCCTGGCCCAGCCCTGGAGGTTGTGGCCATTTGGGAAAAGAACAAGAAGATGGAAGATCTCTCTCTCTCTCTCTCTGTCCCTCTGCCTTTCAAATAAATAATTCTTAAAAAAATAAAGTGTACCATTCTTAGGAATGCTGAAATAGAAGTTTACTGAATTCATAAAGAACACTTCAAAAAAATATTTCATTTTCTAAAGGACTTTGCATTTTATAAAAAAGGTATTATATAAGCATAATCACTACTGTTCCCAAGTAAAGGCCATGATGACAGGAAAGAGAGGGCCCTCAGTTATCACATTACCCACAAGATCTGAGGAGGAGGATTTCAGACATTCACCTAGCTATTTTATTTCAGAACTAGTTTTCTTCCAGTTGAACTGGGTAATGGTGCTCTCTTCTTAATTTTATTTTCCTTTTTTTTTTTTTTAAATTATTTGAAAGAACCTTTTCCCCTGGTGGTTCATTCCCAACAGCTAGGGCTGAAGCTAGGAGCTGGAACTCAATCTGGGTGGTAGGAACCCAGCCACTTGAGCCATCACCTGCTGTCTCCCAAGGTGCACATTGGGAGGAAGCTGGAGCTGGAAGAGAAGCCAGGAGCTGAACTGCGGCTCCAATATGGGATGCAGGTGTACCAAGTGGCATCTTAACTGCTGTTCCAAACACTAGCTTTCCAATTCTTTTTTAAAAATTTAAATATTTTTATTTTTTAAAAGATTTGTTTATTTTTAAAGTCAGAGTTACAAAGAGAGAGGGACAGAGAAAGAGATTTTCCATCCACTGGTTCATTCCCCAGATGGTCACAACAGCCAGCACTGGGCCAAGCTAAAGCCAGGAGCCAGATTTATCTGGGTCTCCCACCTTGTGCTACTTTCCCAGGCCATCGGCAGGGAGCTGGATTGGAAGTGGAACAGCTGGGACACAAACCGGTGCCCATATGGGATGTCAGAGTCACAGGCTGTGGCCAACCTCAGCTGTTTCTTATTTTTGAAATTTTTTTCCTTTTTTATTTTTAAGGACTTTTTTATTTTTAAGGCAGAGTGACATAGAAAGGAGGAGGTTGAGATGAGAGAGATTGATGTTCCAAATACTGGCTCACTTCCTATGGCTACAACAGCTGGAGCTGGGCTGATCCAAAGTCAGGAGCCAGGAGCTTTGCTGGGGTCTCCTATATGGGTGGCAGCGGCCCAAATACTCAGACTGTCTTCTGCTTTCCCAAGCTATTAGCAGGGAACTGGACTGGAAGTGCAGCAGCTAGGACTCAAACTGGCACCCATATAGGGTGCTGGCATTGCAGATGACGGCTTTACCCATTATGCTATAACATCAGCTCCAAATTCACTTTTTGTTTTCTTTTTTTAACTTTTATTTAATGAATATAAATTTCCAAAGTACAGAATATGGATTACAATGGCTTCCCACCCATATCGTCTCTCCCACCCGCATCCCTCCCCTTTCCCACTCCCTCTCCCCTTCCATTCACATGAGGATTCATTTTCGATTCTCTTTATATACAGATCAGTTTAGCATACATTAAGTAAAGATTTCAACAGTTTGCTCCCACACAAACATAAAGTGAAAAATAATAGATGATTTTTTAAATGATGATGAAATCAGATCAGACCTATTGTCATGTTTAATCCCAGTGAGAGTCAAGTTGGGAATTGATAATTTCTTCTTCTTCTTCTTCTTCTTTTTTTTTTTTTTTTTTAACAGAAGATCAGTTTAGTATACATTAAGTAAAGATTTCAACAGTTTGCACCCCCATAGAAACACAAAGCGAAATATACTGTTTGGGTACTCGTTATAGCATTAAGTCTCAATGTACAGCACATTAAGGACAGAGATCCTACATGAGGAGTAAGTGCACAGTGACTCCTGTTGTTGACTTTACCAATTGACACTCCTGTTTATGGCATCAGTAATCTCCCTATGCACCAGTCATGAGTTTCCAAGGCTATGGAAGCCTTTTGAGTTCACCGACTCGTATCTTGTTTAGACAAGGTCATATTCAAAGTGGAGGTTCTCTCCTCCCTTCAGAGAAAGGTACCTCCTTCTTTGAAGACCTGTTCTTTCCACTGGGATCTCACTCACAGAGATCTTTCATTTTTTTTTTTTAAGATTTATTTATTTATTTGAAAGTCAGAGTTACACAGAGAGAGAGAGAGAGGCCTTCCATCAGCTGGTTCACCACTCTCCAATTGGCCATGACAGCCAGAGTTGTGTTGCTCTGAAGCCAGAAGCCAGGAGATTGTTCTGGGTCTCCCACACAGGTGCAGGGGCCCAAGGACTTGGGCCATCTTCTGCTGCTTTCCCAGCCCATAGCAGAGAGCTGGATTGGAATTGGAGCAGCTAGGACTCGAACCAGAGTCCATATGGGATGCTGGCACTGCAGGAGACGGCTTTACCCGCTATGTCAAAGCGCTGGCCCCCAAATTCACTTTTATTATGAAAGGCAAAGAGACAGAGCTCTCCCATCTGTTGGTTCACTCCCCAAATGCCCACAATAGCCAAGGCTGGGCCAGGCAAAAGCTAGGAGCCAGAATTCAATCCAGATCTCTCACATGGATGGCAGGGACCCAACTACTTAAGCCTGCTGCCTTCCATTAGCAGGAGGCTGGAACCAGGACTGGAGTCGGGACTCAAACCCAGGCACTCCAATATTGGATGCAGGTGTCCCAAGCAGCCCCTTAACCACTTTGCCAAGCACACACCCCTGTAAATATTTTCTTTAGGTTTATTTATTTATTTGAAAGGCAAAGAGAGGGAGAGATAGAGCTCTTCCATCCACTGTTTCATTCCCTAAATGCCTGCAACAGTCAGGGCTGGGCCAGGACTTCCATCCTGGTATCTCACATGGGTAGCAGCAACCTAAGTACTTGGGCCATCATCTTCTGCCTCCTAAGTACATTAGGAGGAGGCTGGATTAGAAGCAGAGTTGGGACTCAATCCCATATGGGGTGCAGGCATCCCAAGAACTGACCATTGTGCCACAGTGCCTGTCCCCCAGCAAATATTTTTAAAGAGGAAACATAAAACATTTTAAACACTGTTTTTTTAAAAACAGGACTTCATTTTTATAGTGAAATATTAAGTATTTAACATACTTTTAAATACTAAAAGTTTTAAGATATTTTAAATGTTTTCTTCATAATAAAAGAAATTCCTTCAAAAGGAGTAACAAAACTCAAGTTCTATAAATCTGTACAATAAAAAATATTATACAAAATTGGAAGGTTTTCCATTTTTCTACATACAAATGGACATGATGGTGTGACAGGGAGGTGATTTTTTTTCTTCAGGGTTTTGACAAATGGATCCTTTGTTCTTTTATAAGAAATTCCCATCTTTGCAGGTTTTATGGATTTTCTTTTGTCTTAAAATATATATATGTGTGTATATATATATATATCTGACTTTCAAAATAAACAAATCTTTTAAAATACATATATATATATATATATATGGGGGAGAGAATATAAAAGTAGCAGAATCTCACATCTGCTACCCACTAAGTTAAGAAAATTAACATTCTCAATCAAAGCAATGGTTTTTAATGATGAGGAATAGCCAACAACCCAGAAACAATCAGAAATAAGACTAGGAAGATTAAATGGAATTTAAATCCATTTTACTCACCAAGACATGGTGGCTTTCCAGTATTCTTCAAGTCCAACAGGTCATCAGTGCAAGAGCCAGTTGTCTTTCTTGTTTTGTCTAAGCTTCCCTGATCTCTGATTAATAGCGTTCTCCCTTGTTCTATAGAAGTGATCAAAACTGGCTTGGACCAGATACAGCCTGCAAAGAGAGTCCACCCAGGCTCAGTATGGGTTAGCTGAGTACTTGACAAAATAACAATTCTAGGAGACATGACACCAAAGTGAGGTCAAAAGATGAAAGCCTTTGAAATTACATGAAGACAACAGAATACAACCTAACCAAGACTAGTCAGATTAAATATTTTCTTCAATATTTTACAAAATAAAAGGAAGGAGAGAAATTAAGGATAATGAGGATTTTAAAAAGGTCTGAAACCCAAAATTTTCAAAAGTAACCATAAGAACTATGTGACTAGAAAAAAAAAATACCTTCTTTCTTCATAGAATTAAGTAGGGAATCTTAATCACTACACTTTTTTGAAGTGCCAAAATTCTTGATAAACTGAAAAAAACAGGAGTTGTTAAAAGACTGCAATGACGGGTAGAGTAATGAGGTCTAATAGCCTAAGTCTAAAGGGAAGAAACAGTCTTTAGAAATCAGTGTAGTGGTTCCTCAAAAAGCCTTTGGTGGCATTACCTAAGGCTCAGCCCTGGGACAGATACTTGTCAAAGTGAACTGTGTACCATAGCATTAGCCACACCTCAAGTGCTTGTTAAAAATGTAGATCCCTGGGCCTTGGCCTGGACCTGCTAAATCCTAGTCTCTGGGGTAGGGATTTGGACGTTCTATAGAGAAAATCATTTGCAAATAATACCATTTGGTTTTTAGAATTTGGGAAAATCAGACTGATTTTTCCAAGTTCAAGGATGCTAATTGTGGCAACTTAAAAGTTAATACTGGAGGGGCTGGCACTGCAGCATAGTAGATTAAGCATCCTATGGACACCAGTTCGGGTCCTGGCTGCTCCACTTCTGATCCAGCTCTCTGCTGATGGCCTGGGAAAGCAGGAGAAGATGGTTCAAGTGCTTGGACCCCTCCACCCTCATGGGACACCTGGAGGAATCTCTTTATCCCTGGCTTCAGATCGGCCCAGCTCTGGACATTGCAGCCATTTGGAGAGTGAACCAGCAGATGAAAGACTCCTCTGTCTCTCCCTCTCTCCATCTGTAACAATGCCTCTCAAATAGATAAATCTCAAAAAAAAAAAAAAAAAAAGTTAACATTGGGTCATCAGTACGGAGCCCTCATCTCTCCTAACTTGCTGGCCACCGAGCTCAGTCTCTTCAGCCTGGGGGTTCCAAGACATTCTCTGCTCTAGCTGACTATTCTCCCTAGATGATCCCAACAAGCCTCATGGTTTATAATACCATTCCTATACGTCTCCTAAATGTGTACATCCAGTCCTCACCTTCACTTGGAATTCCAGTTTTGCACATTCAGTTACCTTCTCTCTATTTCCACAGAAATGCCTAATAAGCCTTTCAAACTTAATTTAGCCAAAGTCTGGCCTCTCCCCAAGCCTTCCTTTCGTCAGTGAATAAAGTCATCTGCCAGCGAGATACTCAAACCAAAAATCTACAAGTTATTTCTTCTTTAACTCTTAAAAAAATCTATTTTATTTATCTGAAAAATAGAGTTAGAGAGCGAGGTAAAGCCAAAGTAAGAGAGAGGTCTTCCATCCCCTGGTGCACTCCCCAAATGGTTGCAATGTCCAGAGCTACACCAATCCGAAGCCAGGAGCCAGGTGCTTCTTCCTGGTCTCTCATGCGGGTGCAGGGGCCGAAGCACTTGGGCCATCCTCCACTGCACTCTTGGGCCACAGCAGAGAGCTGGACTGGAAGAGGAGCAATCGGGACTAGAACCAGCACCCATATGGGATGCTGGTGCCGCAGGTAGAGGATTAACCTAGTGCACCACAGTGCTGGCCCCCCATTTCTCTATCTTTGTTACTGTCTACCTGTTCTAGTCACCACAAAATCATACCAGTACTGTTAAGGATCTTCTTGGCTGGTCTCCTTTCATTGCTGTCCTGTACAATTCATTCTCCAAATAGCAATCCAAGTAATCACTGGAAAATTATATCATATCACTCCTCTCTGTTTAAATCCTCCCATCATCGTTCCCTTGTATTTAGAATAAAATCCAACTCCTTACTTGGACCCTTCCCAACTTGGCATCACTTTCCCTCTGTGCATGTGCTACAACAGTCTCCTTGTGGTTCCCGACACTTTGAACTCCTTCACGCCTACCTTTGGCCTTTGCACTAGATCAAACCTCTGCCTAGATTTCACATGGTTGACTCCTTGTCATTCATATCTCAAGTAGAGAAAGTTTTAACCCCACAAAAAGGGAATGAATGCTTCAGGCTAAACTGAGATCACTTATTAAACTGACGCCAGTGGAAATGGTTTTAAGGATTCCAGGATGAGTTAGAGTGAACGGGGTAAGTGGTACAGAATAATTTCCCCAAATTTCTCTTTACTTCCTGAGTATTTCCTTGGCTACCTACATGTCCCATCCCACTGCTCTTTTCTCTCTTGCTTTACTAGGGCAACCTTTCTTCCCTGTTGTAGCCACACTGAACACTGTGTTGTATCCCAGTTCATTTTAACTTAGTAACCACGTTCCCTTAGTGAGAACCACAGATCTTCTGAAGACTGAAAAATTCCTGAGTCCAGCAACATGAGTGAACAATAAAAGAGCCAGTTTCAGAAATAAAAGAACACATTTAAAAGAGAGGCAATCAGGGCCGGCGCCGCGGCTCACTAGGCTAATCCTCCGCCTTGCGGCGCGGGCACACCGGGTTCTAGTCCCGGTTGGGGCGCCGGATTCTGTCCCGGTTGCCCCTCTTCCAGGCCAGCTCTCTGCTGTGGCCAGGGAGTGCAGTGGAGGATGGCCCAAGTACTTGGGCCCTGCACCCCATGGGAGACCAGGAGAAGCACCTGGCTCCTGGCTTTGGATCAGCGCGGTGCGCCGGCCGCAGCGCGGCAGCCATGGTGGCCATTGGAGGGTGAACCAACGGGAAAAGGAAGACCTTTCTCTCTGACTCTCTCTCTCACTGTCCACTCTGCCTGTAAAAAATAAAAAATAAATAAATAAATAAAAAAAAGAGAGGCAATCAGACTGCTTAGCAATTTCAGCTTTGGGAGACAGAGAGAAGGATCCGTGTGAGACTCAGAGAATTCAGAATACTGAATTCATAAAAATACTGAAGACATAGATACTCTAGATAAGAAGGGAAAAGTTGGATATTGTTTATAGGAAGGTAAAAAGACATTATGAATGTAAATCAGGTACAGCGTCACATCCAACCAGCCAGCAGCTGGAAGGAAGCCTGCTCGTATTAGGCAGCAGCCCACTCTTACCTAAGGAGTCAAGGGTCTCATAATTGGCCTTCATCACTTGCTGATACATTTCCTTCTGCCATTTCTGCAGGATCTCCCACTCTTGCTCCGAAAAATATAAAGCCACATCATCAAATGTCATGGTTATCTGGAGTCACAAACAGATATACATACATTTCACTCTGAGGCCACTTTGCTTTTCAATGTCTATGAAGAGATTTGTTATTTCTGTATAGCGTCATACAATACAATGAACGGTATAATAGAGGGGTCCCCTGTTCCCGCAGGAACCAAGCGCACGAGTGAACGGTAAGCCTTTGCTCGCAGGTACTATCTAAAGCAGAATCCTTTACTTAGCAGCAACCAACAGTTACTACAGAGACAGCCCAGATTTGCTGCATGGGTTCATGTTTATTTGTAAAAACATTCTTTATTTTAAAACGATTACAGATTCACAGGAAGTTGAATCTATCGCCTGTACCCTTTATCCAGCTTCCTCCAAAGGTCACACTATACATTACTATAGCGCAATATCAAAACCAGAAAACTGACATCAGTACAGTGAGTCTGTCTAACTCTGTGTGATTTTATCACACGGACTGATTCATGTAACCACCACTACAATCAAGGAAAAAAAAACCTACAAAACAAGACACAAAACTATTTCATCACTATAAAGAGCTTATTTCAACCATTTATAATCACACCTACTAAAGTCTATTATCCATCACTACAATTCCATTTTAAGAATATTGTATAAATGGAATCCTACAGCATGTGACCTGTTGAGGTTTGTTTTTTTCACTCAACATAAGATCCTTTCATTCATTTTTAACCATTCTAAGTATATAGTGATACCTCAGTGGTTTAATTTGCATTTTCCTAATGAGAAACGATGCTGAACATCATTTTTAAATTTTGAAATGTCCAGTTTATCACTTTTTTCCTTTATAAGTTATGGTTTTATTTTAGATTTATACATTTATTTGCAAGTCAGAGCAGCAGAGAGAGATCTTTCATTGGCTGGTTCACTGGGCTAGACCCAGCCAGGAACCAGGAACTCCATCCTGGACTCCCACTTGTGTGGCAGAGCCCAAGTATGTGGGCCATCTTCTACTGCCTTCCCAGATGCATTAGGAGGATGCAATTGGAAACAGAGCAGCCAGGACTCAAACCAGAACTCCCATGTGGGAAGCTGGGGTTGCAAGGGATGGCTTAACAATCATACCAACCCCTATAGTTTATTACTTTGGTGCCACATCTAAGAACTCTTCAACATGCCCTAAGTCCCAAGGATTTTCTCCTCTGTTACCTTCTACAGGTTTTTTAGCTTATGTTTCATATTGAGGAATGTTCAGTTCATAAAGAGAAACTGGAAACCACGGGGCATCTTGAAAAGACAGGGCTCTTCCCAAGTGTATAAAAAACGCTGGTCACAAATACTTCAAAGTAAATTTTTCCAATAGGAAAATCAAGGATACCGAGAACCAAGGCTATTTGACAGCTGGGATTTTGGAGAGAAAAGTTAGAGAGATGGGGCAAGTACTGTGATGTAGCAGATTAGCCCACCACTTGGGAAATGTGCACCCCCTATCAGAATGCTTGGGATCAAGTCCCACCTCTACTTCCAATCCAGCTTCCTGAGGCTGCAGATCACTGCCCGAGTGTCTGGGTCCCTGGCATCCATCTGGGAGGCTCAGAGTTCTTGGTTCCTGGATTTGGTTTGGTCAAGCCCCTGGCTGTTACAGCCATTTGGGAAATGATCTAGCAGATGGAAGTTCTCTCTCTCTCATTCTGCCCTTCAAATAAATAAATAATTATTTTTAATGGAAGAGTAAAACCTAATTGAAACTGTCCCTTTCATGGGGCTGGCATTGTGGCATAGTGGGTAAAGACACTGCCTGCTGATGCTGGCATCCGACATAGGCGCTGGCCCAAGACCCTGTTGTTCCACTTTCTAATCTAGCTCCCTGCTAAAGCACCTGGGAAAGCAGTGAAAGATGGCCCAGTTCTTGGGCCTCTGCACCCACGTGGAAGACCCAGAAGAAGCTCCCGGCTTCTGCCTGGCCCAGCCCTGGCTGCTGTGGCCCTTTGGGAGGGAACCAACAGATGGAATCTATCTCCCTTTCTCCCTCTCTGTAACTCTGCCTTTCAATAAATAAAAACTAAAAATGAATCATCCCTCTCCCAATATTAAAAACAAGTTGCGGCCGGCACGGCGGCTCAATAGGCTAATCCTCCACCTAGCGGCGCCAGCACACCAGGTTCTAGTCCCAGTCGGGTAGCCGGATTCTGTCCCGGTTGCCCCTCTTCCAGGCCAGCTCTCTGCTGTGGCCCGGGAAGGCAGTGGAGGATGGCCCAGGTCCTTGGGCCCTGCACCCACATGGGAGACCAGGAGAAGCACCTGGCTCCTGGCTTCAGATCAGCGCAGTGCGCCGGCCGCAGCGCGCCAGCCATTGGAGGGAGGGTGAACCAACGGCAAAAGGAAGACCTTTCTCTATGTCTCTCTCTCACTATCCACTCTGCCTGTCAAAAAAAACAAAACAAAACAAAAACAAAAACAACAACAACAAAAAAAACAAGTTGCGGGGCCGGCACCGTGGCTCACTTGGTTAATCCTCCACCTGCGGAGCCAGCATCCCATATGGGCACCAGTTCTAGTCCAAGTTGCTCCTCTTCCAGTCTAGCTCTTTGCTGTGGCCAGGGAGTGCAGTAGAGGATGGCCCAAGTCCTTGGGCCCTATACCTGTATGGGAGACCAGGAGGAAGCACCTGGCTCCTGGCTTCGAATTGGCATAGCTCTGGCCGTGGTGGCCATTTGGGGGGTGAATCAATGGAAGGAAGACCTTTCTCTCTCTCTCTCTCTCTTACTCTGTCAAAAAAAAAAAAAAAGTTGCAGAGATGAAATTCCATCAACATTATTATAGGTCTCAAAAGCTGAAGTACGAGTTGTTAATATAAAACAGTACTATTTTTATAAAACTTCAAAGAAATTCCTCTATAGCTTTTTGTTCGCTTAAGTTTTATTTTAGGGGCCGGTGCTATGGTGTAGCAGGTAAAGCCACCACCTGCAGTACCAGCATCCCATATGGGCACCAGCTGGTTCAAGTCCCGGCTGCTCCACTTCTGATCCAGCTCTCTGCTATGGCCTGGGAAAATGGCCCAAGTCCTTGGGCCCCTGTACCCATGTGGGAAACCTGGAAGAAGCTCCTGGCTCCTGGCTTCGGATCGGCCCAACTCCAGCAGTTGCAGCAATTTGAGAAGTGAACCAGTGGATGGAAACCTCTCTCTTTTTGCTTCTGCCTCTCCGTAACTCTGCCTTCAAATAAATAAATCTTAAAAATTATTTTAGGGGCTGGTACTGTGTCACAGGCCACTGCCTGCAATGCTGGCATTCCATAGGGGTACCAGTTCGTGTCCCAGCTGCTCCACTTCCTATCCAAATCCCTGCTAATGGCCTGGGAAATAAGTGGAAGATGGCCCTAGTCTTTGGGCCCCCCGTACCCATGTGGGAGACCTAGAAGAAGCTCCTGGCTTCCATATAACCCAGCCTTACCCATTGTGGTCATCTCAGGAATAAACCAGCGAATGGAAGATTCTCTCTCTGTAACTGTCCCTTTCAAAAAAAAGATTTATTTTTATTTCCTTGAAAGGCACAGCTGGGGGATGTGCTGTGTGGAAGAGGGTAAAGCTGCCATGTGCAGTACTGGCATCCCATATGGGCACCAGTTCGAGTCCCAGCTGCTCCACTTCCGATCCAGCTCTTTGCTATGGCCTGGGAAAGGAGAAGGTGGCCCAAATGCTTGAGCCCCAGGACCCATGTGGGAGGCCTGGAAGAAACTCCTGGCTCCTGGCTTCGGATCAACCCTGTTCTGGCTGTTGTAGCCATTTGGGGAGAGAAGCTGTGAATGAATGGAAGACCTCTCTCTCTCTCTCTGCGTCTGCTTCTCGGTAACTCTGCCTTTCAAATAAATAAATAAATTCTAAAGAAAAAAAGGGCATAGTCACAGACAGGAAAAGACAAAGGATCTTCTATCTGCTGGTTCATTCCTCAGATGGCTGCAATGGACAGGGCTGGGCCAGGCCCCCAGGTCTCCCACATGGGTACAGGGGCCCAAGCACTTGGGCCATCTTCCGCTGCTTTCCCGGGCGCATTAGCAGGGAGCTGGCTCAGAAGTGGAGCAGCCTGGGCACAAACAGTCACTAATATGGGACAGCGGCCTCACAGTTGGTGGCTTAACCAGCTGGGCCCACTCCACCTGTTTTCGTAGCTCACTCCCGTGTTTGTCACCTACAAGAGGCTCATTGTGAAGATATTCACCATTACCAGTGAACTGCTCTTTTTAAAATGGAGAAAATGATTTCTTTTTGCCTATTCCAAATAAAACAGGAACCAAGAAGCTGTCGTCACATTTTCTATGGACTCAAAGTTATAACCAAAGAACTACCACAAACCGCCAACTCTCACACCACAGAGAGGGCTTAGGGAAGTCTGCACAGAATCCGTACTGGCCAGGAGAGGCTGGGAAAAGGGAGCATAAAGAAGGAACCCTGGTGAGGGCACAAGGCACACTGGCCTACTTAAGCAGGTTCCAGTCAACTGAACTAAGAGTTTCCTGGATTCAGCCCCAGGATGTGCCTCCTGAACCCTAAACCAGGGCTCCGATGTTCCGTTACGCGGTAAGTGCCCCGTAGGAGGACCGCTCCAACTGCTCTCGGGTGTTCTGGAGGAAGCGGTCTGCGGCACTGCCGCTAGCTTTCTCGGTGGCAGAGCCCGCACAGGCGCGCGCGGGGAGCCGACGGACCGCAGCGCAGACGCCGCAGCCGCGCTCGGCCTCCCCGGACAGCGAACGCTGCGGAACCGCGCCTTCTCCACTGCCGGCTCGGCGCTCGGCGCTCGGCGCTCGGCGCTCGGCGCTCGGCGCTCGGCGCTCGGCGCTCGGCGCTCGGCGCTCGGCGCTCGGCGCTCGGCGCTCGGCGCTCGGCGCTCGGCGCTCGGCGCTCGGCGCTCGGCGCTCGGCGCTCGGCGCTCGGCGCTCGGCGCTCGGCGCTCGGCGCTCGGCGCTCGGCGCTCGGCGCTCGGCGCTCGGCGCTCGGCGCTCGGCGCTCGGCGCTCGGCGCTCGGCGCTCGGCGCTCGGCGCTCGGCGCTCGGCGCTCGGCGCTCGGCGCTCGGCTGCGGACGGCCGCCCCGCCCCCAGCCCCGGGCTCGCACCGCTGGTGGTGGAAACGGGAACCCATTCCGCCGGGTCAAGTGACCACAGGCTTGGCCCCACGGCCTTTTATAACCGATGCCCGTTTGGGTCTTGGCGGCTCCGCGAGCAATTGGAACCCCACTGAGAGGAGACTCCGGGT